CATTACGGGTAAAGAATTTGCGGATCGGTTCTATCCAAAACCTTAATTGTTTATGATTTTTTGTGTCCAGAACGGGACAAGGTTTCACAGTTCGTGGTGTGAATCAACCAAGGAACAAGGTTATGTCCTGCAGCACATCACCAAAGGTGACCATGAATCATGGTCCGCACCGCATTAGTACAAGGCATAGATGCAAAGGCGCCACATGTGTGAATTTTCAGAACATTTGAATTGCCCGCAATGATTTAGTTTTGTTTTAAATTTGGGTTCTACATGCGTTGTTGTTTTGACCCAATGTTTTTCAACCATGCAAAAATCAATGTTGTTCACAACTAGCACTCTTCTGGTTTCTGCCCCAACCCAACAAATAAGCAATCGCAACTGATAGTTTTTGTTTTGCGCCCAAAAAATATCATATCAACCAACATGTTTCGAACCGAAAATCCAACTCCGCACAATTCCAAGTAAAATAACCCACAACTCATCAGGCCTTGCAGATAGATTTTGCCTTCATCGTCGCAAACAAACGAAATTTATAGTACTTCCACACGTCCAATGGTTGAAATTGCGAGGTTTCACTTCAGAACTAGAAGTGGTGAGACCACGTGTTGGAACCGCTGGACCCCAACAAAGCCCATGTGTTCCGACATCGATTGCAAAAAATGACAAGTCTGCAATTTCACCTTAACAATTTTCAAAACTGGGTTTTACATTTCCTTCGCTAGCGTTTCATCAAGATAACGGCCGCTGCGGCGCGCAATTCACAAACCTTGTGATACTAGTATATTATATTATCCACCCAAACCCCTTCCAACTACTAGACGACGGATGGCCCGAGAGCGTAGAGGAGCAGGGTCTTCTGTTGTTAGTATTGAGACACTATATTACAAGACAATATATTAAAGATCTATTATAGGCAGGCGAGAAGAGTAGTATCAAGACAATATTTTACAAGCACAAGACAGTAGTTTGCATCGTATCCTTCGTATAGTTTTTCGCACACAAAAGCTTTTACACACAGACGCTTTTGCACACAGAAGTTTTTACACACAAACGTTTTTACACAGAGAAGTTTTTACACACAGAACCTTTTACACACAGAACCTTTTACACACAGACACTTTTGCACTTTCACACACAGACTTTTACACACAGAAACTTTTACACCCAGTTTTTGGTGATCGAACGTCATTTCGTGCGAAAGGGTTGCGATCGGACCTTTTGCAAATCGCAATTTTACCTCAGTTTTTGGTGATCGAACCTCATTTCGTGCGAAACGGTTGCATCGGGCGCTGGGCAACTCACAATCTTACCCCAGTTTTTGGCGATCGAACCTCATGTCGTGCGAAAGGGTTGCGATCGGAACCGTGAAATCGCAATTTTACCCCAGTTTTTTTGGCGACCAAACCTCATTTCGTGCGAAAGGGTTGCGTCGGACGCTGGGCAACTCGCAATTTTACCCCAGTTTTTGGCGATCGAACCTCATTTCGTGCGAAAGGGTTGCGCCCGGACGCACTGCCCCGCGCCTTCAAGAGAGAAATAGAAAAGAAGGAGAGAGCAAGAGGGCAAGAGAGCCAGAGGGCAAGAGAGCAAGAGGGCAAGAGAGAACGTGAAGATATGAAGATGTGAAGATGAGAAAAGGAGAAGATGTGAAGATGTTAAGATGAGAAGATGTGAAGATGAGAAGATGAGCAGGTGTGAAGATGAGAAGATGTGAAGATGAGAAGATGAGCGGATGTGAAGATGAGAAGATGTGAAGATGTGAAGATGAGAAGATGAGAAGATGTGAAGATGTGAAGATGAGAAGATGAGCAGATGTGAAGATGTGATGTGATGATGAGAAGATGTGAAGAAGTGAAGATGAGAAGATGAGAAGATGAGAAGATGTGAAGATGTGATGTGAAGATGTGATGTGAAGATGTGATGTGAAGACGTGATGTGAAGATGTGCAGATGTGAAGATGTGAAGATTAGGATGTGAAGAAGACGTGAGGATGTGAGGATGAGTAGATGTGAAGAGAGTTCTCCATTTGGCGTCCACTTTCATTCAAGCTAGGGGGGGGTGCACCACCACCCCCCCCCAGCCTTGCTCCAAGCCCGCTCAAGCTAGGAGGGGGTGCACCCCCCCCCCCCAGCCTTGCTAGTATCTTCTTCCTGCACAACGCACCATCCCTTCCCTCAAAAGCCTGGATATCCACCACCCACAGCTTACCTTCAGACCATGGGAGATGCACAACCCCTCCCCCCCAGCTGTGCCCATCCAAGGTGCGGGGGGGTGCACCACCTCCCCCCCCCAGCTGTGCCCATCCAAGGTGGGGGGGGGGTGCACCACCTCCCCCCCCCAGCTGTGCCCATCCAATGTGGAGGGGGGTGCACCACCCCCCCCCACCTCCACCCCTTCAAGGGGAGGGATCTCTTTTGTCCACTTCAAAATTGATTCGGGAGAGGAAGAGTAGGCTGCATGAAGAGTACAGTAAGCTTCATGAAGAGTAGGTGCTTGTGTGTGAAAATGGTTAAGACTCCACACATCCATGACAGCTCATACGATCACAACAAGTGTCCATTTTTTCCCTTATGGTAGTCATCTTTTGCATAATGCGTTTAACCAATTTCGACCATTTGCTTCCAGCTCATCTCAAGCAATTCCCTACCCAGCGGATTTTTTCTCTTTCCACTCAATCTCTCATGCCGGCTGCGCCAAACCTCAGAAGGCATGGGGCTCTATTTATTTAACTGCCTCGCAAATTCCTTTCATACGATCACAACAAGTGTCCATTTTTTCCCTTATGGTAGTCATCTTTTGCATAATGCGCTTAACCAATTTCGACCATTTGCTTCCAGCTCATCTCAAGCAGTTCCCTACGGAAGAAGAACAATAACAAGGCACAAAGGAAAAGAAGCGAAACGAAACGGAGCAAAGCCAGAACGATGTTCTTCCTGCGTTCTTTGGGGGGGAGGCGCGCCCTCCCCCCCATGCCCCCCTCCAGCCTTTGGAAATCAATCTGCGCCATTGAATGAAGCAGAACACAAAAAAGGCGACACTAAAAACATGAACACGAAGAAGAAGGAAGAACAACGAAAATAAGAATTGAAAGGCACAAAGGAAAAGAACAGAACGGAAACAGGTCAAAACCAGAACGATGTTCTTCCTGTGTTCTTCTGGGGGGGAGGCGCTGCGCCCTCCCCCCCATGCCCCCCACCAGCCTTAGAATATCTATGCGGTCCAATGATGAAAGCAGGATACAACAAAGACGGCACCAAACGGAAGAACAAGAAGAAGAAGACGAAGAAGAAGACGAAGAAGAAAAAGAAGAAGAAGAAGAAGAAAATAAAAGAAGAAAAACGACGACGACGACCACAACAACAACAACAACAGCAGCAACAGCAACAGCAACAACAACAACAACATATCAAAAAAATAGCACAGAAGAGATCCAAACCAAAACGAGGTTCTTCCTGTGTTCTTTGGGGGGGAGGCGCTGCGCCCTCCCCCCCATGCCCCCCACCAGCCTTAAGAAATTTATGTGGGGCAATGTTTAAGGCACAATACAAGACAGACGACACCAGACACAAGAACAAGAAGAAGAAGGAAGAACAACAACGAGAACAACAATAACAAGGCACAAAGGAAAAGAAGCGAAACGAAACGGATCAAAGCCAGAACGCTGTTCTTCCTGTGTTCTTTGGGGGGGAGGCGCTGCGCCCTCCCCCCCATGCCCCCCACCAGCCTTAGGAAATTTATGTGGGGCAATGTTTAAGGCACAATACAAGACAGACGACACCAGACACAAGAACAAGAAGAAGAAGGAAGAACAACAACGAGAACAACAATAACAAGGCACAAAGGAAAAGAAGCGACACGAAACGGATCAAAGCCAGAACGCTGTTCTTCCTGTGTTCTTTGGGGGGGAGGCGCTGCGCCCTCCCCCCCATGCCCCCCACCAGCCTTAAGAAATTTATGTGGGGCAATGTTTAAGGCACAATACAAGACAGACGACACCAGACACAAGAACAAGAAGAAGAAGGAAGAACAACAACGAGAACAACAATAACAAGGCACAAAGGAAAAGAAGCGAAACGAAACGGATCCAAGCCAGAACGATGTTCTTCCTGTGTACTACTACTACAACTACAACTACTACTACTACTACAACTACTACTACTACTACTACTATTACTACTAGTACAACTACTACTACTACTACTACTACTACTGCTGCTACTACTGCTGCTACTACTGCTACTACTACTCCAACTCCTGCTCCTACTCCTACTACTACTCTACTACTCTACGACTCTACTACCCTACTACTCTATTACTCTATTATTCTACTACTCTACTACTCTACTGTTACTACAACGACGCCGACGACGACTACTACTACTTACTACTATTACTACTACTACTACTACTACTACTACTAATACTAATACTACTACTACTCCTCCTGCTACTACTACTACTACTACTCCTGCTGCTACTGCTACTACTACTACTACTCCTGCTGCTACTACTACTACTGCTACTACTACTACTACTACTATTATCAACAACTAACTCCAAAGCGTAAATTTGTGTTATGCTACTACTACTACTACTACTACTACTACTACTGCTTCTACTTCTAGTCAGGCCAAAATCTAAAAAAAGATTTGCTGCGAGATGAGGAGTAGGGGGTGGTGGAGCCTTCCCTCCTGATCGTTGGAAGCTGGGGGTGAAAATCTGAGATTGGCTGTTGATCATCTTGCCACATATGCTACAGCAAATCACGCCGCCAGCTTCGGATCCATCCCCCTTTTGTGGGGTCAGCACCTGATCGCTGCCTGAACAAAGACTTGCGGCCATCCATCAGTGTGCTCCTGTGGTGCCTGATTCATTAGAAGCCCCCAAATTAGTGAACTTGCATTGTGCATATCTACGATCTTTGGTGAACCTGACCAGGGGGCTCTCGCATGGTAGCGGAGCCTGGCAGGCACCAATAGATCTGAGCCATGGCGACCATGGGGAACAAGGAGGACTCAGTGGACTTCAAGTATCCCACATGGGATGGTGACTGGAACAAATGGACGGACTATCAGCTGCGTGTTGAGTTGAGAGCTGATGGACTGAAAGAGGAGGACCAGAAACTTCTAGGACCTCGGCTTGCATCCAATCTGACTGGAAAGGCCTTTGACAGTCTCGCTGAGATTGACAGAGAGAAGTTACGCCAACCCGATGGGTGGCAGTACTTTCTCAAGTTTCTCGAGAAGACTCGAGGCCGTGAAAAGGTAGATCTTCTTGGAGATGCTTTCAACGAGTTCTTTGTGCGCAAAGAAGTCTACCGCAAGGACGGTGAGGAGTTTTCAGAATATGAACCCAGATTTCGAAGTCTGACCAGAAGATTAGAGAAAGCCCTCAAAGAATCAGGATCAGAAGGCAAACTGCCAACAGAAGTCCTTGGCTGGTTCCTGTTGAACTGCTATATGAGGATGGATCCATCGGACATCGCCAATGTTCGTGGACGCTCAGAGTCATACAAGCTGGAACACGTGGTGGCCTCCCTTCAAAAGATGTGGAGTGGAGGCGGCCTAGCTGCCAAGGATCAAGAGATGCGTCGTCGCCGAAAAGATGGTGGACAAGCCTTGCTGGTTGATGAGCCTTCTCGACCTGATGAAGGGGAGGTCTACCAGAATGTGGACGAAGATGTGATGGAAAGCCATGCCGCCACCAATGATGAAGAGCTTGAGGAATTGGCCACTTGGTACCAAGAAGCCTATGTTGCACTCGTAGATGAGCCTGATGATACTGAGATACTTGCCAACTTCAAGGATGCTCGTCGTGCCCTGGACCAAGCTAGAACGGCGAGGGGTTTTTACCCTGTGAGACACCCTGACAGTCAAAAAGGTCGTGGTAAGTCTCAGGGCAAGGGGAACTACAATCGAGACAATGAGCATGCCAACAAGACCTGCATTCGGTGTGGGAAGCGTGGCCACATTGCTCGTATTTGTCCACAACGAGCTCAAAGTGATGGCAAAGGCCAAAGTGGAAAAGGAAGTGGCAAGGTGGGTTTTGTCGGTGTCCAATGGCAAGAACCAACTGCAGAGAATGCATGTGATAAAGGTGACGAGTGTGCACAGGTCTGGGCCACGACTGGCCATGAAAACCAACTTCGTGGCAAGGCTGTCCTGGATAGTGGTGCCTCAGATAACGTGATTGGAGTGAACACTTTGCAAGATCTCGCAGACATGTACGAGGAGCTTGGCCTCAACACTGAGGACGAGTTTGAGATCGACCGTAACATCCACAAGAGCTTTGTCTATGGTGGTGATCACAGTAGCAAGGCTCTGGCACTTGCACACCTGAACCTTGGTGTCTTGGGAAATGAGATGATGGTCGATGTGCATGTTGTGGAGGGCAGTACACCTTTGCTGCTCAGTGCAAAGTTCCTCTATGATTCCCGAGCCACCATTGACTTCCGAAAGGGGACAGCTGTCTTTGAGGGCATCAACCATGAAGCGTATCAGCTGGAAAGGAGTCCAGGTAATCATCTCCTTCTACCAGTCACTGTCTTTGGTGGGCGCCGTGGACTGATGAGATCTACTGAGATGTGGCCTCCTGCGGTTCCTGTACTGAGTGCGCCTGAGTCAGATCCGGACCCAAAGGGGGATGAACCGAAGCTCTAGGGACAGCTCCACCAGGATTGTAATGGACATCCTGAACATGGGATGAGGGTCTTGAGTGGAGATAGGAACCTAGATTCACAATTCAGTGCAACCAATTTTGATGATGGTTTCTGTGTTTTTGTGGAGCCTCCTGATGATGTTGGGGACGCACAGTACCAATTCATGGGTGACTGTAAGCGGGAGTGCGCGCAAGAGCTCCAAGATACCATGTTGGCTGGAGTGGGTGACATTCTCAACCTCATAGGTGAAAGTTCGTTGGATTTGTTGGAAGTTTGTGCACCTTGGGATGCACCACTGACCCAAGCAGTGAAGGATGCAGGGGGACGGGCTATGGCTGTTGGGATTCATAATGGGTATGATCTCACCACCAATCAGGGTTTCAAAGATGTTGCCAAGTTAATCAGAGAATATAAACCCCGGTACCTTCATGTTAGCCCACCTTGTGATCCATGGACTGCCTTTTCGAATTGTAATCAACGAACTGAGGAACAAGTGTCTCGGCTTCATGAACGCCGTAGGATCAGTCGACGTTTGCTAAGGAACTGTCGTAGGCTTTTGGAAATTCAGGTACAAGAATTGAACGGCAGTGTAGGACTGATACCGGACATGGGACCACACCATGGGGGAGGTGAACACCCACTTCATGCACAGAGCTGGAGGGTACCTGACATGAGAAAAATGGTTCGGTTGTGTGGTGAACGTTTTGCTGTTCATGGTTGTATGCATGGCATGTGTAGTAGGGATACACGTGAACTTGTCAAGAAACCATGGGGTTGGTTTTCCACACATGCTGGAATCAGAAAAGCTCTGGAACGAAAGTGCATTCATGGAACTGGAGCACACCGCGTCATCCAAGGTAGCATCACTTCATCCACAGCAGTTTATCCTCCTTTGTTGTGTCGTCGTTTTGCCAAAGCCTTGATGCAAGACGTTGTTGATTTGTTTCCTATTTTTCAAAGCTGTGAGGTGAAGGATTCAACCGAAAACAACAGTTTTGATTTTGATCCCACTCACGCCATTTTGGCTGAAGGGGTGGCAGGTGCTGAGGACAATATCAATGCTGCACCCGTTCCTGATAGGGAGGAACAAGACCAACCTCAAGCACCTGGGGACGATAATAGAGAATCTGAGGAGGACACTGGGAATGATGCCGCATATAAACAAATGATTCGTGATGCTCACCGGAATTTGGGTCATCCTGGCAAAGAATCCTTTATTAGGCTGTTGAAAGATGCTGGTTCCAAACCCCGAATCATTCAACTTGCTGAAGAATTTGATTGTCCTGATTGTCTCATGAGGGGTAGGAGAAGTACTGTCCGCCAGTCTGTTGTTCCCAAAATCTATGAAAAATGGCAGTGTGTTAGTGTTGATTCCTTTTGGTGGCATACTCCTCGTGAAGCCTTGAAACCCGGGGAAAAACCTCAGTACTGTATTGGGATTAGTATGATGGATGAAGCCACTGACTTCCACTGTGCCGCAATCATCAGATCTGGTTTTGAGAAACCTTTTCGAAATATTTCTGGAGCTGATTTCAAACAGGCTTTTGAGAAGACCTGGCTCCAGTGTTTTCCTGCACCCTCTTGCTTGCGCTACGATGAAGAAGGGTTTCTTAGAAAAGTGGAAGTTATTGAGTGGTTGGAAACGTTTGGCATGAAACTTGAACCTATTGCGGGAGAGTCGGCATGGCAAGCTGGGAAACATTCCAAACATCTTCAGACTTTGAAAGAACAAATGAATTTGTTGAGTATGGAACTTGGGAGTGATCGTGATTGTAATCAGTTGTTAGCCCTAGCAGTCAGTGCCAAAAACTCCATGCATCAGGTGCGAGGATACAGTCCTAATCAATGGGCTTTCGGACAAAGCCACAGTAGGTTGTCTTCCTTCTTGCAGCAGTATCAAAACATGCCACTGCAGTCACGTCGTGAAGACCTGACCTTTGAGGAGAATCTTCAAACTGAGGTCACTGCCCAACGTTTGTTTTTGAAAGTGGATGCACAGCGAAGGCTCTCTCGAGCTCTCCATTCGAAATGCCGACCTTTGAAAGAGTTCCAATTGGGCGAACTCGTCTATTACTTTCGAAGAGGAGTGAAAGAGGGATCACGGTATGGGGGACATTGGCATGGACCAGCACGTGTTTTGACACATGAAAAGACTTCCTCTTATGAAACTGGACAACATTTGGGATCTGTCGTTTGGATTTCACATGCTGGTAAAATCCTTAGATGTTCACCTGAGCAGCTACGTCCTGTGCAGCATGATTTGAGACATCTGGACAAGGACATTAATGGACCACGAAACTTCTTTGATTTGTTGGAAGGCATCAAAAATCAACAAAGGTATCTAGATCTGACTTCTGATGTCGAAGCCATGACACGTCTTGACACGCAAGAACCTGATGTTCCTCATTTTAGGGCTCGAGGCAAAAAGCCACTCAGTGAACTCCGCTATCCTGACGAAGCATTCGGTGACACAACCCGAGAGCGCAATGTCGATGCCAAGCGCCGACCTGAAGACTCTGTTGGACCTTCAGGACAAGAAGGGACAAGTGAGCCGAGAGGAGATTCAGAGCATGTCGCTCGAAGACCTCGGCTCGATGAAGATGGACCAAGGGGAACGCCACAAGGGGCACCTCTTCCAGGAGATCTACAAGGACAAGAGCTACAACCGTTGGGTGGCAAGCCACATCAAGGACGACGACCCAGTCTTCCGCACCATCCACAAGTACAAGATCTACCTGCATCGTCGTCTGGCTCAGGAGCTCGAGGAGGAGAATGTCCTGGGACATCCAGGAAGCGGAAGCCATCAACTTCCCCTGAAACCTTCGAACGTGAAGAAGGTGCACACCAAGGAGGGGTCCCGCCAAGCAGCAGAACTGGAAGCCATGGGTCAGTTGACTCCAATGCCCATTCCGGACGACGAGAGCCTGTCTCATTGGAGCCAGGTGGAGAACATGGAGAACGACATTCAGAACCTCCACAATGGCAACGAGCAGCTGCACCAACGCATGGCGCAGATGGAAGCCTGCATGGCCCAGATTCTCACGGTCTTGCAGTCGGGACCACATGGAGCGTTGAGCCAGGAGAACACGAACTGAGTGAGGGATGCCAGAATTCAAGAGAGTCCGTAGGTGTGAGAACAACCTTTTGCTGTCAGGACACTGCGAAGACAGTGTCTGGAGAACATGTGTCTAGTGACTTGTTGAAAAATTTCACTGCTTATGTTCAAGAACTTGATGTTATTCAAATGGAGTTAGTACTTGCACCTCGTGACGTCCACCGACAAAAGAGTGCCTGGGTGATCAATGCGAAGGTTAAGAAGGGAGCTGAAGTTGTTTTGAGAAAACTCTTACCTCATGAACAACAGCAGTTTGATGAAGCCATGAAAAAGGAAATTGACTCCTTTCTTTCCAGTGATGCTGTTCAAATCTGTTCTGCGGCTGGCATTCCAGAGGAACGCATTATGCAAATGCGTTGGATATATACTTGGAAAGTGGTCACTGATAGCGCTGGTAATGAAACTGGGAAACGTGCAAAAGCTCGGTTGATCATCAAGGGTTTTCAGGATCCTAGACTCCTCCACTTGCCCAGAGAATCTCCCACACTTTCTACTCTGGGTCGAAACATGTTGTTGACATGCGCTGCCAGGAAACACTTTCCCGTAGCCTCAGGAGATATCAAAACAGCTTTCCTGCAAGGTGGTAAAACCGAACTTCAGGACGAACTATATGGAATGCCACCTCCAGAAGTGCGAACTGCCCTGTCCATGAAAGACAATGAAATCCTGCGTATTGCAAAAGCTATTTATGGCCTCTTGAATGCACCAAAGCGTTGGTTTGAGTCTCTCAGTACTTTCTTGACTGATGTTGGTTGGATTCCCCATAGTCTTGATAAGTGTTTATATAAACGAATTGATGAAAACAACAAAGTGTGTGGGTATCTTGGGTTTCATGTTGATGATGTTTTGTGTGCTGGACGGGGCGTTGAGTATGAGCGTAGTCTGGAACGACTTCGACAAAAATTCACTTTTGGGTCTTGGGCTGAAGCCCAAAAGGAAAGCCTCATGTACTGTGGCTGTGAAATCACTCAGGATTTCAATTTTGCTATTCATGTCAACCAAGAACGGTTTGCTCTGAGTATTGATGAAATCAATGTGTCACAAGAGCGTAGAAACGAAACGTATGAACCAGTGACTCATTCAGAGCGCCGTTTGATGCGACAAGCTTTGGGAGCTTTGAACTGGAGAGCAACTCAAAGTGCACCTTGGATGTTGGCCACGGTATCTCATTTGCAAGGATGTGTTGAACAAGCTTGTGTTGGAGATCTTTGTTCTGTCAATAAATTGGTTCGGTTGCAAAGAAAACATTTTAATCGTGGTTTGGATTTTGTTCCTGTTACTGGTGATGCCACGGTGGTCACTTTCACGGATGCTAGTTGGGCTACCCGTAAAGATGGTTCCAGTCAAGGTGGTCAGATTACCCTCCTTATGCAGAAAGGTGTTCTTTGGGGAGAAAAGACTTCTTTTTGTGTTTTGAATTGGACTAGCCGTAGACTTCGTAGGGTAGCTCGATCTTCCACGAGTGCTGAAGCCCAAATGAGTGCCAATGCCCTGGACAACCATGAATTTGTCAAACTGGCTTTTGTGGATGTTGAGTGTACTCAGAAAATTGATTTGAGACATACTGATGAATATTTGTCCTCTTTTGAGTCCACCATGGTCTGCGATGCTAGGAATATTTTCGATGGAATTGTCAAGGTTGAAACTTCAGGACTTCAGATGGAGGAAAAGAGAACCGCCATTGAGCTTCTTGCCATAAAGGAACGGCTGCAGCAAGCTAGGGTCACACTTAAGTGGGTTGATGGTGAACAGGAAATGGCCGATGGGCTCACTAAGCCTTGGAAACATGAGCCACTTTTGAGAGCACTTCAACAGGGTGTTTGGAGAATTGTGTATGATCCCACTTTTCAGTCGGCCCGCCGAAAAAGGGCTATGCGTCTCCAGCAGAACCAAAGTGATGTCTATTGGTTGCACACGGTACTTTCCCTGGCTGATGATCAAAAGAAAATTTTGAAGCCATGAAAATCTGAGATTGGCTGTTGATCATCTTGCCACATATGCTACAGCAAATCACGCCGCCAGCTTCGGATCCATCCCCCTTTTGTGGGGTCAGCACCTGATCGCTGCCTGAACAAAGACTTGCGGCCATCCATCAGTGTGCTCCTGTGGTGCCTGATTCATTAGAAGCCCCCAAATTAGTGAACTTGCATTGTGCATATCTACGATCTTTGGTGAACCTGACCAGGGGGCTCTCGCAGGGGGGAAGGGGGTTGTGGACCCACTCCGCCCTGTTTGTCGGCAGCTGAGGGGGGGGTGGTGGACCCACCCCCCCCTTGTTTGTCGGCAGCTGAGGGGGGGAGGTGGTGGACCCACCCCCCCCTTGTTTGTCGGCAGCTGAGGGGGGGGGGTGGTGGACCCACCCCCCCCTTTGTGAATGGCTACAGTGACTATGAATGGCTATAGTGACAAAGCTGGGGGGGGGTGGTGCACCCCCCCCTCCCCAAGTTGAAGAAGAACACAAGTGAGCAAACTATCAGATTGTTATTTCGAACTTAACAAACCGTGTATGCAAACCACTTACACAGGATCTGTAAAATCCAGATACCCAAATAAAGAGTATCATAAAATCTAGATACCCCGTCGAAAACGCAAACGCCCTGTCACATAAAAACAAACGCTTCACGTGATACCAGGGTGGCCAGAAAAACGAACTGACAACTAAAACTTCTCTTGACAACTGCCGCAGGAAGCAGATCTTTTTTCAGCACTGCTTTGGGGTAAACGTCTCAAATGGCTGGATCCATGCTTCCAGCTCTTTTTTTTTTCCTCTGGTATGGCCGATCACGCTCTAAGGCTCGGTCCTTACATGAGAAGAAGCTGTTAGTAAGAAAACTGTTACATGGACGCCGGTGGTCACATGCAGCTTGGCAAATCATAACAACCAAAACACAAACCAAAAACACAAGGCAAGACGCAGATCCCCCAGCCAGATTTGCGTCTCACCATCCGAAAGACAACAAAGCAAACAGCGAACGGGGCAAGAGCCCAACAAGAAAAACCACAAAAGATTTGCCGAGGACACAGTGGAAAAAACCCACTGTGTCGCAATAAACTCAAAAACATGCAACAAACGAATTAGTAGCCACCCAGAAACGTGAGACATGCGAACTACGTTGTTGCCAGGAGGACAACAAAAGTCGTGTGTATTATACACTGTTGACTAACCCAGCCTCTCAGAGTCCACTCACGAGTACTTGTTCACTTGCCCAAGTTCAGAGAAAGAGCAAGTACCAGACGGCGTAAGCACGAGCAGGAGGAATATGACATTGGTGGCCAGGTGTCTTGTGCCCCTCCCCATTGCGGGGAGCGGCCCAGTGGCAACGACAGCGCGGTCACACGGGGCTAGGTGAGTGACCATCCGTAACCAGCCACTAAAAACTTATGCGTCTCAGGGTGGATATGACTACCGTGCCAAGTCAAGAAGAATACCGTTCCAGGCACTATCAAGCATGGTCAGCACCTGGTTGTTGTGCCTATCGACATGCTTGCAGCAGCTATAGACTCATCATCAAAATATGCATTGTCTCGATGGCGCCAAACTGAAAAATCCGCCCACACCGCTTTGGCGGTGAAGGCGTGCTTAATTGGGGGGCAACAGCAACACTAAATGCTCAATGACATTTGTTAATATAGCAGTCGCTATATCAGCTTTAGCTGGGGGGGGGGGGCAAAAAACGGTTTCGCACCGAGACCAGAATACGGTGGTGTTTTCGACATTTTTCGAGGATTTTTGGGTGTCTGAGCGCAAGAAGGTATTGAAATTGAATTTTGGGTCATTTTGGTAGCTTTCTGGCAATGGAAAAACGGCCAAAAATGAAAAAAACATTGTACATAGCAAGATTTTGCAGGGTTTTTGGATGCCAGAGCATTGAAAACACTGCAAAAACAAGTGTTTTGGACTGACGTTATAGCAAAAAACGGGTAAATTACCGTATGCTTGACTGGAAACATTACAAAAACACTGTCAAAAGCAATGTTTTGGAAGGATTTACTGCCTTTATGGCAAAAAACGTGTAAATTACCGTCTGTTTGATTGGAAACATTGGAAAACACTGTCAAAAACAATGTTTTGGAAGGATTTCTTATATATATGTTGGAGTTGGCTACCGGCATTGGAACATGGAAAAATTGAAGAAAACACTGTAAATAGCGGTATTTTCAACGGTTGGGGAGATAAGGGAATTGGAAGCATTGTCGAACATGATGTTTTCGACAGGTTTTATGGCGACAAAAGTGTAAAGTACCGTGCTTTGAAGGAAACCATTGCAAAAACATGGAAACACATTCAAAGAACACGGGATTTGGGGGACTATCGAGGCGTCGTTGTCTAGCTATTTGAAATTCCGCAGCTTGGAGAGCCTCCAAGGGAGGGAAAAGTGAAAATTCCATAGCTTGGGAAGCTGTCACGGCGGGGAAAAGTGAAAATTCCCTAGCTTGGGAAGCCCCCACGGGGGGGGAAAGTGAAAATTCCATAGCTTGGGAAGTTGTCACGGCGGGGAAAAGTGAAAATTCCCTAGCTTGGGAAGCCCCCACGGGGGGGAAAAGTGAAAATTCCCTAGCTTGGGGAGCCCCCACGGGGGGGAAAAGTGAAAATTCCCTAGCTTGGGGAGCCCCCCACGGGGGGGAAAAGTGAAAATTCCCTAGCTTGGGGAGCCCCCACGGGGGAAAACCACCCTTAGCCCCTCTCACGGACCGAAATAAACATGCGGTGTGGGCGGCCACCCCACGCGAAGCGGGGTGAATATCTGCAGAACTGTTCAGGTACTCCCAGAGTGTCTTCGTCTCAGCAAAGTACCTGCAGTGCATTGCGACATAGCAAAAACAGAGGGTCAGCCTGAAATCCAGAATAAAGACCACTCTCCCGACGAGTGGGCCAGCTGATTAACCGCTGATCCGAGAAAGAAACTCACGATCCATGTGCGCAGGCTTTGCTGCTCACGGGCGCTCCAGACTGTCCAGCAGAGAGTGCCACTGGTTCGC